TTATATATATATGTATGTATGTATGTATGTATGTATGTATGTTGTATGGATGGTCTATTATGGATTATATGTATGCAAGTATATATATATATATATTTATATATATATGTATGTATGTATATGCACGTATATTTTTATTGTATGTAGCTATATATATATATATGGATGCATGTATGCATGTATATTTTAGTGTGAAGCTCATTTTTTAGGAAAGGAATGCAGCGATACCTTCGACAAACAATAATACGTGGTGGCATTGAACTTCGAAACGGTCGTGGCAAATTGACGGCGCCTGCATCTGACGTGTACTTTCAACTTTCACCACTTAGCACACACAGCCTGGCTAAGTACATGCACAAAATTTCACGCTTTTTCAGCCGATGCAGTATGCTTCGTGGAGAGATCGGACAAAATAAATGACGGCTGGGAGTTGATATTTAATCATGTACGTCATACGTGCTCGTCGAATTCTATCCTCTGTCGCATTTTGTTCCCTATTCGCGAAACTCCTGTTTCTATCCGCGATACTCCCTGTGTTCATAATTTTCATATCGTATCAACGGTAACACGCGTTTATATGCACGATGTGTAGCTCATTTTTATGAATAAATCACCTGTCTGCTTTTACTTGTCAAATACACAAGGTGATAATCCCTTACTCCGCATGCAGGGATGCGAAGGTGGCAGGTTTATTAAAAAAAACACGCGCTACAGGGTCGCAAGTGGCTCGATTAAAAAGACAACATCGCGAGAAGCAAGCGACGAGCAATCCGATGATACTGATTCGGAATTGAGCGCTTCTGAGCTGGAGCTTACTGACGAAAGTGACTACGGGATCATAGATGACAATGATGAATTCGCTGTGATGGTACGACCTCGCAATAGTGTAGCATACCTTGACACAATTAATGGAGTCTGATTCCAAGGCGTACATTGTATAGCGACGCTTACAGCTTCATTTTGTTTAATCGTGTATACTGTGGAACGAGCCTGAGTGGCAATGCCAATGTCGGAAATAATTTGAACGACATTTGATAGAATGAACTGATTCTTGTCTTGCCATCTACGTCCAACTCAGCCGCAATCAGCCAAGAACACCTGGTTCGATATGGAATATCATATCGTATACTCTCTTTCATTCAAGGTGCCGGTTCTGTACCTGACCGGGCGCAAGAAGGGTAAGGATAAGGAGTGGACCTTAAGCATTTCCAATGTCACACAATTATCCGCCAGCAACTCTTTACTGTTGGTGCATTGTTCTAATCTCGTTCGGCATTCACTATTTCCGTAAAATCTATGCGGTTGTGAACCATTTTAACTTTGCAACTATAATTTCTATTTGAAGTTTAGATGGCAAATTGCTGCGCAGCGATGACATACTCGGATGCCTACCTGCATATCAAGTCGCAACTTTTCGAAATCTATCGACACCTGTCGTAACGCAAGTGGTAAGGCGTGTCCCTCAATGTCTTGTATTCATTCGTATACTCGCGCAGATCTTAACAGATACCCGGGTTTGAACCTCGAGAATCCAAAGAGGCTTGCGGTCTGCGCATTGTGTTTGCAAGGCATGTCTGTGCATCTATACAATAGGGAGAATGGGAGTGTGTGATGGGTGACATTGTAGCAAGTAGGGAGGAATATAATAAAGAACCCCTTTATGTGGCTGTACACATGATAGTATTTGGACGACGGCAGATACGGTGTATTGTCCCAGATTGATTTCAACAATGGCCTATGTACCCCAGCATGATTTCTATATATGTCCTAAATTATCACGTGCCCGTTCTTAAGCAGGAGCATCCCCTTCTTGGGGTGCCGTATCTGATGGTACATCCTTGCAGAACTGAGGACCTGATGCAGATAGTGCTCAGCGCAAAGAGCGAGTTCACTGACAGAGTGGTCTCCCGCACGAGGTCCGATATATACCAAGCATCTCGGACGTGCATAGAAAACAATGCCGCCTCAAGTGGACACAACTACATTGTTTCTTGGTTAACATTGGTCGGACCTATATTTGGCCTGAAAGTCGCCACTAAGTACTTAAATTATTAAAATAACAATGGCTCGTCTGAAAGACTCTGAAGTCAGGACTGTCACCAAAACATTATTTATTCCAAAATATTTTCATAATATTTTATCGCACGTGTATACGGCTATACGCGGGCTTTTTGTGGATAGTTATTAGGTTGTCGCATTTATATTTACCGTAGGCCTGTCTGATTGTCATCAGCCGTACACATATATCCCTTCAACATCTGTACTGAAGGTACTGTCATACTAGACGTCTAGTAGAAGTGAGTACGATGGCAGGGGATTCAACTTTCAAGAAAGCACAAAAGGCGTTCCGCCGTAGTCACAAAGAACGACACCAACCGAGGAAGAGACAGAAGTTGGGGCTTCTAGAGAAGCATAAAGACTATGTTCTGCGTGCAAAAGACTTCGCCTCGAAGCGCGACCGCTTAAAGGCGCTGCAGGGAAAGGCTCGAGAGAGAAATCCTGACGAGTTTTACTATAAAATGGTGAATACGAGGACTAAAAATGGGGTACATCAAGTGGCCGCGAATAGGAGCGAGAACTTCGATGGCGATATGCACAAGTTAATGGCCACACAAGACGTGGAGTACGTAAAACACAAGCGCCAAATTGAACTGAAGAATATTGCGCGACTACAGAGTCAATTACATATGATCGATGCACATAATGATGAGGACATCGCACACACTAAGAATCATACAATTTTCCTAGATACAAAGAAAGAGGCGGAGGCCTTTGACGCGGCGAAACACTTTGATACGGATGAAGCACTGGTATGTAGGATGGTTCAAATTGATACATTCAATTTCATGTTAAAATGGATACATATACGTGAATACTGTAGAGTGAATGTCAAGTTTTGCAAACGAGTTTACATACTTCATGTCTGCACGATTACATGCACTTCCTTGAAGTCCATATATTCGCACGCCCTGTTTTGAGTTAGTTTGGCAATCGTGCTGACTTTTGAGATTTCTACTTCTACTTGGATGGGTGTACTCGTGATGATACGTGCACCCTTATATATGAAATATCACTTCTGTATATACATACATCCGTAGACACCTATACTATGTTACACAGCTATCTTCCAATTCTGTATGAGCACACGTTGGTAGATTTACAGGCATTTTAATGTTTGACTGCATTGTACTTGTAGCATGTCATGTATTCTTCAATCAAAATCCATTACATATGTAATCAATAATTTTGTAGTATAGGTAGCATTATCTTGGCTCTGTTGTGATGCAGCTTATCACAATCATGCTCCCAAATGATTATTTCAGCATGTGTAGCACTTGCAAGTTTCATGGTTTTTTTATGCATATCAATCGTATGTTTTTAAATTAGGTACTTGTCTATCTCATTTGCATGTGTTGATCAGCTCAATTTTATATTGTAGAAGCACATGGCATGGGCGTGTTCTCATGCATTATGTATATATATATGTATGTATGTATGTACGTATATATGTATAGGTATATATATATATAAATATGTATATATATCGTATATATGTATAGGTATATATATATAAATATGTATATATATCGTATATATGTATAGGTATATATATATATAAATATGTATATATATACATATGTATATATATATGTGTGTGTGTATGTATTTTTATATTCATATATGTATGTATGTGTATCTTATATACATATATGTATCTCGCAAAGTATATTTATAATTATATGTATATATGTATGTGTATGCATATATACATATATATATATGTGTGTGTGTGTGTATATATGTATATGTATGTATATATGTATATATATATACGTATACATGTATATATATATATATATATATATGTATATACATATATATATATGTAAGTGTATGTATTACTTATATATATGTATATATATATAATATATATGTATGTGTATGTATTACTTATATCTTATATGTATGTTATATATATATATATATATGAGTGTGTGTGTTTGTGTGCGCATCAAATTTTATATGATCACATACCTGAGTTATATTGTAGTCGGATTCAAGACTATTAATTGACATTTCAGTCCTGATGTGCGATGAATTGAGTTATTTGAAATCGAATTAATCTGTATATGCATCGCATATACGGAGGTTCAATTTATTTATTTCGTTGGCTTATATATTCGGTTTTGTATTTATTGATGTATACATGGAGTTTATATTGACAACAACACGAAGAATGCTTGTGTAAAAGCTATATATATATATATATATATTAATCGAATACATTCAATATTAGACACACAGCCAGTGAAGCAGATTATTATTGAACAAAGCACGTCTCTCAATTTGGAAAAACTATAAACATATATATATGTATATATGTATTTATGTATGTATATATATGTGTATATATGATTTGGGAAACTATATTGTATTAAATATAAGTGTGTGTGTGTGCATGTATATCTATGTATATATATGTGTGTGTATGTATATATATGTGTGTGTGTATGTATATGTATGTATATTATTTTATTTATATATGCGTGTGTGTTTGTGCGCGCGTACGTATATTATTGTATTATACTATAATATATATGTATGTATATAGTTAGAAAAGTGTTGACTATTAGCATTCAACTCGTTTGAGTCGAAAGATCATATACTTTTGAGAGTAAGTATATCGCAGAAAGAAAACAAGCAGATTTGATTCGACAAATATTGCGTCTCACTATATACAAATCGATGTGATTGATAGTGTAGGGGATAACGTAAGGCATAATCACAGATAACCTGCTCATAATGATTCATTCGTACTCGGTACACTCGGAGTGCTGGGCACGCTACACTTCATGTGTATCAACGCCTGTCGCACCTACTGCTCAATTGTACATTAGTTGTTCAACTGTCGAAATCAATACACATCCAAAGCGAATGCTGATTTGAAAGCAGATTGCAAACATTCTGTGGGCTGAGAGTGGATGATTTTTACAAGTTGTTTGCTTCAATTCGTTCTTCACATGTATATATATAAATATATATGTGGGTGTGTATTTGTCTGTGTGTGTGTATACTAGTATAGCGGTACGAATACATGATCAGTGCCGAATCGTGTTAATATAGTTCATTGTTCCATTTTAAAAGGACTTCCAAGAGAATCGAAACTATTTGTCGGCTAAGACGATCTATTCTTTTTCATTTACTTACCAATATATGCATGAAAACATAGCTTCGTGCGCATACATTCTGGATTTCACAGTTCATTTTCTTCCTTATTCTTCGTTCGTACTCTCCTGTTCGTCTACTTTATTTCCGAACTCAACTTATCCGTCTATGTCAACGATTTAGAAGAACTTCAGGAATGTTCTAATTTTACAACCTTGTCGAGACTATCATTAAACCGTGCTAGCTTGCGGAATAGCCTCCATTGAATACTATATATGCGACTTCTTATGGACATGAAATATTATTACTTTCCCCGTATAGACCTAAATTCTGCCAGAATCAGCAACGTTATGAACGATTGTTTTTATGACTTGTTTGAATGCCGTTGCCTAGATTAATTTCGCCACGCACAATTTTTTTTCTTATTTTTGTGTATCAACTATATTGCTCTTGTCAGGTTGGGCGGGCAGCAAATAGGTTGAAGAATGAAACCTTAGATTCAGTTGCAATTGGAGATACTGCAACTCTCAATCGAGCTGTGAAAGATATGGGCAAATCATATCGGTAAGTACGTCGTAGGCGAGGTTGAAGTGAATTCAGGCAAACTTACGTAGCGCTCTGGAGTACATGTAAATTGGTTGTGATGTCGATCGCAGTTGAAAGCCTTTCATTGGTCTATCTGTGACTTTTCAAAAAAATTAACGAGTTAGTTGCTACAACCGATATCAAATTCTTCGATATGTGTCTATTTTTTTCCATTCTCAGGCAAGCTATCGTAGATGTTATCGAGAATTTTGTTTACTCTGCATGTTACATCGAAATTTGTTAACTAATTGGATACAATTTGATCTCTTGTACTTCTTCAGCGAGCTTGACGCCCGAATTGATCGTGAGCATATGCTTACGCTAGCCATGAACGAATTGGATACACGAAAGAAGCTCTTAGCCAAAGGTCCGAGAAAAAAAATTGGGAAAGACGAACGAGGAAATTCAGTATTCAGATGGAAGCAAGTGCGAAAAAGATAATGGAAAGTAAAATAGCTGTGAAACAAGATACTTTTGCATCCTAAACACGCCCCATGAAAACGTAGCATTCAAAAATATTATTATAAAGATTCGCATAAAAGTGCAATTGGACGCATTCCTCTATACTCTGATAATTTCGCGGGATGACAAGTACGATTGGCGAGCAACTCAGCGATGCTCAATAAGAGAACAAACTGATTGATGTGCATGAAGTGAAACATTGATCTCTCTGTGAATTTATAACGTACCTCAAGAAGCTCAGCGTCCCTCTAGAAACCTTTGCACATTTGTTAAACCTTAGTACATGGTCATTTCATGAGATGCAAACCGATACGTTTCATTTTTCTACTTTTTTTGTGAACAAATTCAGACAATATACACATCTGTGCAACCCCAGCACTCGTACGTTCACGTCATAAGCTATTGTATACTACTCCGAATTCCGACTGCGAAATTACGGTAATTAGTGTGCCAATTTGTATCATGTGCCTAGCCAAAGCAAGTGAGGATAATATGCGAAGTGATATCTATGTACTCACGAGTAGGACTTTAAGAAAGTCGGCAAGAAGGATTTTCATTAAGTTCTATTACGAAATAAGTAAGAAGAAACAGTAAAAGTAGCTGGGACGAGACTACGACAAGGAGGCAAACAAGCAACTGAGGAACAACACTCAGCTGACAGAGGATAACAGAACTAAGAAGGGAACAGGAAGCAGACAAGAAGCAGGCCCATGTTCTTCATTGCCACAGGACAAGAACAAGGTAAGTTTTTGGGAGTTTCAAGAAGTGTCCAACAATCGGTAGAGAAGAAACAACCAAAAACTGTCAAAGTGATATAATTACCAATGTGCACATATGAAGTGTAAAAATTGGGGATAAGTGTCACAGTGATTTTCAAACAAGAAAATTCAGTAAGTAGGAACACATCCGATTTTCGAAGGGAGATTTATGCACTAACGAGTATGACACAAAGAAGGCCAGCAAGAAGTATTTCTTAAGAAACGCACAAGCAGTAGAGATCATCAGATTCGACCTAACATGACATTTAGAGAATTAATTATCCATAGCAACTATTACTCAATCAAGACACCATATGGAGGTCAGACCATTAATAAGTGAAGCAATAGAGGCTAAGAGCGTTCATCAATCTCATAGTCACAAGATGGCGGGGTGAAGAATAAATGTGCAGGGCAATTCACCTGCAAGAACATTTAGTATCAACAGTCTTGGGACAACGAGCAAAAGGTGAGGCCTACGAACATTAACTTAGAATAAGGGACTGCATACTAAAACAATAGCACCACTCATAAGTTCTAGGAACAAGGAACACTCGATCAAATACGAGTCTTCAAATGAAATTACCTCTGAAGACATGTCAATCTACCACCTTATAGTAATTAGTGTAAGGGCGTAGACCACTAGCGGTAGGACTGAGCAAAAGTGCCATAAAGGAACGCTATCGGCTGAAGAGGTTTGGTAATATCACTAAGACACTCACAGAGTCCATTGTAAATAACACAACCCCAAAATAAAAAGATAGTCAGAGGCAATCATCTCAGAACATAGTGCACACACCATCTTATAAAGATACAATGTTCTTCACGAACAAGTGGAGGGA